CATGTCTACACCTTAGCGACTGCATGCAGGGTCTGGCGCATCATGTAGAAGGTGCATGGCGTATCACACGGGGTGCAATATAGTCTTCCAAGATCTCTCACAATATAGATGCATATTTGCGTACAAAGAATGACTCAATGTGCGTGTGGTACTTGATGTGACTGTGGTATCTGCCCAAACTATGGCGTCACCGACAGACCTAGTCCGCATCCGTCTTTTAACACGGGATCGAGGCAACGGCCACACGCAAATCGTACTGCGAAACGCTGCACCCACTGCTCGCTGTATACATGTCAAAGGCACCAAGCCCGCCGCTAGGACTGCGGTGAGCACCACTAGGTTATCGGCCGCCACGCATCACCAGTATGACTGGATCCAGCGCTGCGTCCAACCATCAGAACCGCACTCGGAGAGACGCATTCCTCCCCGAAGACCCTCCAGCCCCCCTGCTAGCACTCAATCACCATGCTGTGATTGGCCAGTCACGCGAACGGCCTGGTCTGGGGCAGCGATAATCGGCATGGTCCAAGCTCCCGTGCTCGAAATTCTGGGTGTGGTCAAGATCTCACCAGCAACTTTAAAAGCTGTCATCCCCGCTTGACAATTCCAATTCCTCAAGATACCCCCTTTCACACACACATTCACAATGGCTTCAAGACCCGTTTCCCGCGCTCTGCGCCAAACCGCCCGCCAATTGGCTGCTACTCCCGCTCAGAAGCGCACTTTCGTGTCTGCTCTGAATGCTGGTGCCAAGAAGGCTGCTCCCCGCGCGGCTGTTACAAGCCAGTTCCAGCAGACTCGTGGTATCAAGACCATTGACTTCGCTGGTACCAAGGAGACTGTCTACGGTAAGTTCTGAGCTCCGTTGGATGTCAATCGAGGACATATTGTTGCATTGGAACGAGAGCTGACGTATGCCGAACAGAGCGTGATGACTGGCCAAAGGAGAAGCTTCTTGAGTACTTCAAGAACGACACCATGGCCATGATTGGCTACGGCTCCCAAGGTCACGGCCAGGGTCTCAACATGCGCGACAATGGCCTCAACGTCATCGTCGGTGTACGGAAGAACGGTGCTTCATGGAAGGAGGCTGAGGCGGATGGCTGGGTTCCTGGCAAGAACCTGTTCGACATCGATGAGGCCATTGCCAAGTCGACCATTGTCATGAACCTTCTCTCCGACGCCGCTCAGTCCGAGACCTGGCCCGCCATTAAGCCCCAGCTCAAGGGCAAGGTAAGCGGGAATCATCGGACCTGACAAGTATGCACACTAACGACAACAGACTCTCTACTTCTCCCACGGCTTCTCCCCCGTCTTCAAGGACCTTACCAAGGTCGAAGTCCCCACCGACATTGACGTCATCCTCGTCGCTCCCAAGGGTTCCGGCCGTACTGTCCGCACCCTCTTCCGTGAGGGCCGTGGTATCAACTCATCCATCGCCGTCTTCCAAGATGTCACCGGCAAGGCCAAGGAGAAGGCTGTCGCCCTCGGTGTTGCCGTCGGTTCCGGATACATGTACGAGACCACCTTCGAGAAGGAGGTCTACTCCGACCTGTACGGTGAGCGTGGCTGCCTGATGGGTGGTATCCACGGCATGTTCCTTGCCCAATACGAAGTCCTCCGTGAGCGCGGCCACAGCCCCTCTGAGGCTTTCAACGAGACTGTCGAGGAGGCTACACAGTCTTTGTACCCCTTGATCGGCGCCAACGGCATGGACTACATGTACGCCGCCTGCTCCACCACTGCCCGCCGTGGTGCCCTCGACTGGAGCCCACGCTTCAAGGCCGCCCTTAAGCCCGTCTTCAACGACCTCTACACTGCCGTTGCCGACGGTAGCGAGACCAAGCGTAGCTTGGAGTACAACTCGCAGCCCGACTACCGTCAGAAGTACGACGCGGAGCTTAAGGAGATTGACGAGTTGGAGATCTGGAGGGCCGGAAAGGCTGTTCGCTCCCTCAGGCCCGAGAACGCCAAGTAGATGCGTCTCGGCATGCGAGGTTGAGCTTGGATAGTCAAGACAAAAAGATGTGTAGATAGTGTCATGTTTACGATTACGGATGTATTCTGGCGTTTGATATGGGCGCTGATAATTCCATGCTTGCTGCATTGACAGCGACGGTAAATCAAAAGGAACGAGAGAAGTAAAAGGGAATGGCTTGGTAAAAGCGAAATGAATACCTTTTCAAGACAGTTGTTGCTCCAATCTGCCTATGATGTCCAACGTGACTTGTGATTCTTTTACTTTGAACTCGGTGAATAGCTTTGCTAGAGCTAGGGGCTTGGTTTGGTATATCTAACCATCACTGGTACGTTATCGATGCTTCATATCGCATTGTATCTTTCCATCCAGCTAGGCGCGAATAGTAAAACGGTTGTGGGCGGTATAGGCGTAAGAAAGCCGGTTATGGTGTATACATTCGTCTCTACGCTATACATTTACATGAATCGAAGATACCATTCTTTGTCTTTGTAGTCATCCTTCTCCGTTCCAATATTCAGATTCGGTGCTTCTGTCCATAGCTTACTCACGTCCAGTCTCGCGTACCGTTCTTCTCTATCCGCCGTTCTAGCTAGCGCGAAAACCGCACTGCCAAACTCATAACATGGTGTCCCTGCGGTACTTGGAGGGACGATCAGCTCGCTCTTGATGACGGGTATGAGAGTACGCTGCCACACTAGATTCGTATTCGCATCTGGTTTCAGTATTTCGGCTTGTGAGCTCGCAAGCAGGCGTTCGTCGTGGGTGCGAGAACCAAGGATAGCGATACCGCTAGCGCCGGCATTGGAGCAGATGAGTGCAGAGTCCTGAGTCGTTATCATGCCTTCGGGGGAAGGCTGGCCGTTGTGAGTGGATGAGGAAGAAGAAAGGCCAGAGACGTGCGCGTGGGTGGGCAAAACTTCACCGTGCTGGTGGCCGCGGCCTTGGATTGCAAAGCCGCCTTGCACAGCATGGATCTTTACCGCAGTAGATCCGTTGTTGGTGATGCGGTGCCAGCGGAAGTACCAGTCTGGCCATTGTTCACAAGGTGGAATGATGTGAGTTGATACAGAAATGTCCGCGTCGGCCCAAGGCTTCCATGTACTCGTAAGGCAGGTTCTCCTCGACCAGGACGTGAGCTTGCGTTCTATAGACACATCAACGAAGCCATGGTTTGTGACTTTCCACGGTACTCGCCAGGTCTCGCCGTCGTCTTTACTCAGTGCGAGGGTGCTGTCTGGCGCGATTTGTTGTATCAACGAACCAGTAGGCACGCTGAAGCCAAAGTGCGAAGAGTATGCATATTTTCCATATTTGGCCTCCGTCGCTTTGAGGGGCCAGGGACAAAACTGTCCCGCCGAGAGGAGGAAGTGGTGGTTTGGCTGACTGCAGAGGATGTGCATTGGCGGTTTGATCGGCATGATATTCCACGGACCACCGTAGGGCAAGCGTCTCTCCTTCGAAGTCCAGAACGGATGGTCTTCTGGCAATCCCAGTGCCAGGAATGACTTCAGAGCCCAATATGGAGACTGTGGGCTGTTGTAATCTTCGCTCATGTACATGTTTGGGTAGGTGAAGCCGATTGTCAAGGTACCGTCCATGTTGAACATGTCATCTTTAGTGCTCCACCACCGAAAATGCCGAAGGAGAAGACCTTTGACGTCACACCATTCTCTTATTGGCGGTACTGGTAGTTCCAACTCTGCGAAAGCCGCGGCTGACCAGAACCCAGCGAATGCGAATCGATATGTCAGACTTCGGCCAAAAGGTATTGCAGCACCTAGTTTGTGTCAGGTAGCGTCAGAGCTTTGATAACGACAATGTGCTTACCATTAGTATCAAAATATCGCCAAAACGACTTGGCGAACTCCTGAGCTCGGCCCCGGAACCTTGCGCATCGCTCTGGATCCAAGTCACTTGCCATCTTCACATATATGAGCTGAGAAAACTGTATAGCAAAGCTTCCAGAATAGTAGTCTGCTTGCCTTCCCTCATCACTCCATATTCCGTCGGCTGACCAACCCTCACCTAGGTAGAATTGCTCCATGAGATCCAGATCCGCCTTCATGGCATCGAGTGCATTGTCCTTGGGTGCGCCACATACTTTGATCAGCGCCAGGTTAGTCATGACGCGGAACCAGAGCCAATTTGTGGTAGGAAAGTCCTTTCCATTGATGGTCTCCAGCCACGCCGTAATGTTTCTCTTCGCGTCTTCGGTCTGCGAATGGAACATGGTGTCTGGTGCTGCTAGTAGTGCGAACGAAATGATCTCCATCTCGACCATCCTTTGGTCTCGCAGTACGACTGGGCCCCAGTATTCGGCATGATTTGGATCGGTTCCGTTGGCTAGACCTGTGGCGTAGGGTTTGATGAGCTCGTTGTACTCGTCTGCGGAGACGATGTTTGAGTGCATGAGCGTGCCGACTGCCCATAGTGGCCGGGCATAGCCTTCGAGCTGGGCTGCGACATCGTCGAAATGAGTACCAGTCACCAACGGGAGTTTGATTCGGGCACCGTGGGGTGATTGATACGGCTTCAATGCGCGGAGGAGAGCTATCGCTGCCTTCTTAAAGTCGGCGTGGGTCTTGAACGGGTTGTTCGAGAACCCTTCCAACGGAGGCATTGTGTCTAGCACGCTTTTAAAGGCCTTTAACGCGTAAAGACGCGGGATTTTGCTGTGTGCTTGCGGTTTTACACGTTCTGTAGTCTCTCAAGTCCTGTGGGTCCATGTTCGTGTCCCGCTCTGAGCGGCTCGACTGGCGACAGTCATCTTCGTGCCATTTTCGCTTCGCACCTGAATTGGCAGCGCATCCGATATATGCCTGGACGTCGTACATCGTCATTCCTTCCCTGTCACGGGTTGATGGAATTGGGTGGCTCCCGCCGTGGAGTGATCAGCCGAAAGAAGGGTTAGCCTCGCGGGGTCCGAGTGTGGAGAAACCTTGATTTATCCCGATGCCCGCCGCTCCTGCATCATCCACATTTGCTTCTTCCTGACCAGCGCTTTTGCGATGTCGTGCTGATGTCGGCTGGGTGGACTAATTACTCGGTTGGCAATGGCAGCCAAGCAGGCGAGGACGATGGCCCCGTCTCGGTAGGGGGTGACACTCCTGCGTGTGTTAGCTGCAAGCAACGCAAGCTGCGATGCTCGCGCGAGACACCCTCGTGCTCGCATTGCCTGAGGTTGTGTAAGTAATCTTGTTGAATGGCGCTATCTTGCGTCGCTGACATGCGCCATAGCTTCCGAATGTGTCTATCAGCCAAAGAACAAGCCTGGCCTTAAACCCGGAGCTGTTGAGGCGTTGACCCGCCGCGTTGGTATGGTAGTACTCCTTCTACGATGAATTCAATCTCACGCAGGTTAGCTTTTCTGGAGAGGATACTTTTGGATGACGCTGGAAACATCCGACCCCGGTATAGAGAAGATGATGTTGCGACCAATGGGCATACAGTCGCCCATGCAGGACCTGATACCGTAAAAGAGAGTCCTGCGCCTCGTGTTGAAGAGCCACCACAATGTGTTGCGCCTACTCCCAAGTTCAACCACATTCAACAATCCACCAAGGATCGATCAACAGGCCTTGAAGAAGAGAGCGGTGCGATCAACCCGTTGAAACGAAGACATGAGATGCCAATTGCTGAGAGCTGGCTTCTGCCCTTTGAAGACGTTGATATTGCACAATACCTGCCATCTCAACCACTTCTCGAAAAGATTGCAGACTTCTTCTGTATCTCATTTCATCATTGGATCCCGTACATTCATAAGGCGAGACTCCAAACACGAGTACGTCAAGGTTGTCAGGATCCAGGCCATGTGCTAGTCCTGCATGCTTTGGTTGCAGTTGCTTTACGGCACATGGATCCCAACGTAATATATCTGGACAATGACCAGATAGTTCAACAAACAAGGGTGTCACGTATGATTGTGGAAACTCATGCAATGCGCAATGTCACCATCGAAAGTCTACAGGCCCTCATATTCCTAGTCTTTGATCTTCTCAATGACGGACAAACGCAAAGGGCATGGCCCTTGATTGGATCCCTTACGAGGACTATCGACTACCTTCAACTTACCACCGAATCATCAACATCACAGTCAGGGTCGCTCATGACGCCGGTGCGACTAGTGAAACCATCCAACGATTGGACGGAATTGGAGGAAAGGCGGAGACTATTTTGGATTATCTTCCTACTGGATAGATTCTGCTCAGTATCTACTGGATGGAATACGAGCCTCACCGCGGACGATGTGCACCGTCGCTTGCCAGCCGATGGCGGATTCTTTACGAGAGAGGAACCAGTGACCACGCCGTACTTCGGTATCTGGAACAAGGCGGCTGCTCGTATCGGGCGCTCACTGGCAAACGTCCCTGCGCAATACAACGACGAGGACTCAGCAATCGATCACTTGCCTCAAGGAGCTAGTCCTAATTCTGCCAACGGCTACATCGACGCTTCCAAGCTCGGCGCATTCGCATATTGCGTCGAAGCAACCGAAAGTCTAAGTCAAGTGACGACGTTCTTCCTTCAACAACGGATCAACTGGCAAGACAAGGAGCATGCGGTCAGTTGGTTGACGCGCTTCAAAGAGCTAGATCTTAGGCTTGTACAATGGAAAATATTCTTACCACCCAGATGGAAGGACTCGAACATCTCGTCAGATAGGACTGTGGTCGACATGGATCCAAACCTTACACTAGCACATATCACACATAACACGTCAATGATTCTGCTGCATCACCCTATTGGATACCCACCCCGTGGATGGAATGACTTCGTCGCACTGCCGAAAGAATGTAGCGTTCAGACATGCGAGCTTGCCGCTGTGGAGTCTTCGAACATCGTCGACAAGTTCCTTACCCATACACCTATACCATTTGTTAACGTACAGTTCTCGTTCTGTGCATTCATCGCCGCCAAGGCGTTACTCTTCGAACACCAGGCCGCTCGTAAACCTTTACGTTCCGAATTCCACCGCCTGATCCGCAATCTCGAGGAGATGTCGGCAAGATGGAGGGGGCGGGACACGGATGATGCAAAATCGGAAAACCAAGCTGGAACATACGCAAAGCACCTTAAGCGCCTACTTGAAGCCTGCCAAAACGACGCCAATTTCCGATTCGACTTTTACGACCACAACGGACTCACTCTCGACCCACAAAACCACGCTAGTCCCACGTATGCGGCTACCCCACAAGCCCGCTCCAGAAGTCTTGCACACGAACGTTCGCTGCTCAGGAATCATGGTCGCAACAACAGCTTTAACAGTTCCCAGTCGACTCTTAGTCCCAGACGCATACCACCAGACATGAACAGAAACACAGCCATGCCATCTCCAGGTACATACGAGCAGCACCATCCACGTCTACCGACGGCCCATGCGATATCACCCACCGCACCACCTCCAATATATCAATCACCACAAGTGCAAGCTAGTTACCCTGGTCACACTCCATCACATTATGCACCAGGCGGCACGCCCGTGCCAGGATCTGGTCCGTCTCTTGCTCCATATGGCGCGGCTGGTACGACGGCGAATCACCAGAGTGTGCAAGATCAATCTCTGCTTAATCTGTCTGACGCCTTCATGGACTCTGGTTTCTTGGATATGGACCGCGTTATTACATTTGAAGATGCGAATTTCTTCTTACCAGGCGATGCGTTTCGTTGGAGTTGATCTGTTCAGGTAGTTGAAAAAAGTTTTAATAGCAAGGCTGGAATTAATGCGCAAGGTCAACACCGGTTAGCGCACGTGATTGTTTACCGCAACATGTGCGACACATAGCTGGAGGCCTGAAGTTCGTTGGGCAACGGTCATTGGTCGGTGGAACGGCTGCGCCTCAACTTTGAACATTTAAGTAAGAACAGAAGTCTGTCTCCACTGCAACCTGATAGTCCTATGTTCTCTCTTGAAGCATGGACGATGACTCCGGCGCAGAAGCTGTCAAAAGTTGGCGGTCGATTCTTACGATAATCGTCTTTGTTTTGATTAGTGAGTGATGGGTAGCTGTCTGATGTTGTTCAAGATGACTGGTCTGACCTTCATAGATCTGCCGATACTACACCCACTTAGCCTGCCAGTCTATATCCCACATTTGGTTGCGGAATCTTTATTCTACATCCTCAGCGTCTTGCGCATATTGTCATGGCAAAGAGAAGGTGGCGCAGCTAAACGGTCGAGGTTCACCAGATACACGTGTCTAGTGAAAGTAATCATCTGCGTTATGATAGTGTGGGTCTTAGGTCCCCAGGAGTCCTCAGTCACGCCTGGAAACGCTGTGGCGTCGTTCATCTCCGTCTCAGACTCGTATACCGCCGACAGATTGGAATTGCTTGTAAAACATCCGAAGCATAAGGTTGATAGTGGTAGCCCAATACTGTGGCGGTATACTCCTCTAAGATGATCATCCTGCATTTCGCGCTGGGCATAGACATACACATACGCCTTTTTCGTTGCCTGCATCCTGGTCGCAGCTGGCGTTCTAGGGAAGGAATATCAAATGACAAACAATGGCGAGATGTAAGTTCCTATCCCAGATTATCGCACGCACAAGCTAAGCCATACGATAGGGACCAGCAATCCCTTCGCGATTCTAGCTCTCCCCTCACGATCATGCCACCCAACTCCTCCGTCCCCTTTATCACCACGGTGCTCCTGGTCAATATTCCACAGCTATTACTCTCAGTCTGGTATTTTGTGTACAACGCCATCTTGACTCGGTTACAACTCAGCGAGGAATGGGCTCTGTACTCCACGTCATTCCGGCCTCTTTGTGTCTCTCAGCCCAGGTACTTTCCCAATCTTCCTTCTGACTCTTATGAGTCTGCATCAGGCCGTTTATGATGGCAAAGAAAGGTGCAAAACGGTATGCTAACGAAAGCTCTGATTAGAGGCCACCGAGTTGGAACTTATAGGCTCCAGCTCCCGTATAAATACAGTATCCTTCTTATAATCCTCAGTGTAGTTCTGCACTTCCTGCTTTCTGAGAGCTCATTCGTGGTCCTCTTTACAGATGGTATGTATGTCGTCTGGGGTCTATCTCCAACATACTTGGCCGGACTGCTGGCCCTGGCCACCGCCGCCATTCAGATTCCCTGGCTTCTGGGTTTATTGCGACTGCCCGGGCACATGCCACTCGTTGGACCAGACTCGCGGGCCATAGCAGCTGCTTGCCATGTCTCACCGTTTTCCAAAGCTCCACTTGATGAGCAAAAGGGTGGGGAAGGAGAAGGCTACGAGCGCGTGTCTATGGCCGATGAAGAAGGACATGGCGGTTTGCTAGCCGTATCTAGAAGTCTTCTCTCATGGGGTGTAGTGAAGATGCCTCAAGCTTGGTACGATGCTCATGTGGATCGACGAAATGCACCAGAAAGCCGCCGGGCGGTGGAGCATCTAAGCTTTGGCACTTCACTGGATGGTGTAAAAAAGCCTATCAGGGGACGTTTATACTAATAATCACGCATCAAATACAAGAAGAATGAACAAAAAGAAAGAAAACTTTACTCATTTCAGATACGTTGCGCATAAGACGAGACCTTTAAAAATCATCGAAATCCCTGTTTCTACCCTCAACAGACTTGTTCCACTCACAGTGCGCCTCAGAACTACCCGACCTCAGCTACCTTCCCCTGAACAGTATGACAGCTTGATGAATCAGAATGACTAATTGGAAGCATCATCACCCTCTGGGCTCAGAGCAGGCCATGACTAGTCAGTCCACATGTCCTCAAACAAGTCTTCGACCTCAGGTCCACTCGAACGTTCATCTTCAGGCTGAAACAGATTCGACATGCCCTCAAATAGATCTTCGACTTCAACTCTCCTCGATGTTTCGTCTTCAGTCTGGTTCAGATCTTCAGCTCCCGCCAGAAAGAGATCTGGGTGATGTCGACGTAAGTGTTCAAGGTCAGATCGAAGCGGCCGACAAATGTCTTCAAGCTCAAGTCGAAGCGACTCAGCTAGTTCAACATTTCCTGCCAGCTCAGCCTCACTCAAATCCTCATCCTCAGCCTGATTCAGGTCTTCACGGTCCGGCGGGAAGAATTCTGGGTAAAGCCGACCAATGTGGTCAAGGTTAGCGTTAATCGACTCAATTGATTGTCCCACACCTCCTGGGAGGGACAAATCCGGACGAAGTCGATAGAACAACTCAATTTCAGCTCGAAGCGACTCACGCGCTTGCTCTGCTTTTACTTCGCAATAGCGTCGAGCCATGTTATACAGAGCCTCTGACTGTGCTTGCTCTATCCGCTGCTGTTGAAGCGTTTCGGCCTGATTATTGTTGGAGAAGACAGGCATGGTTGCTAACGATGTTGGTGGAGCTGGGATTGGTTGTGGGTGTAGTGAGAATCGGATCTTGTAGTGGGTGATATGCTCTCTGTGATTACGCAGTTGAGAGATCTTTATATAACTGCAAGAAGGCGCATAGTACACAGACTTCGTGCCTCCATTTTTAGGGAAGACAGTACGGTAACGGCTTTCACTCACCCGCAGGCTAGGCGCTACCATCGAAACCGGGTACGCGAATATGTGCTTTCACGTTCTAGCCAGGTCTCCTCTTCTTAGCGTTGACATGCCTGACAGCCATCCGGACGATAGTCTCGTCAGGGCCGGCCATCATTGTTGCGCAACAATAACATGGCTACCTGATGTTCGACTTTTCCACCTTCTCGACTCGTGAGTGTTCCACCTATTCACTCTTCAGAGACGTTCACCCAATCTCACGACTTGGTGCGATCTGTATCTCACAACAGACTCGTCATTGCAAACTTTGTGTCGCAAGACCAGGGTAAAACCACAAAGTCTAAACCTTCTTTTGCTGCGTGCCTGATCTCTGTTCGACTCGATCCCATACCCGCTACCAGCATCTAGCATTCACTCTGGACCATCATTCCCTCTCACACCCACTTCTGGATATTATTCGGAATGAGTTTCCTGAACATGTCCAACTGCTTCGCATGAACCGCCATCTTCACATCCAATATCTCAGGCCGTAACTGCAGCGTCTTATCAACACGACGTTGGTTCCCCCCAAAGACGACAGTGTAATCCGGCAAGCGTGTATACGGAGGAATGACCGAAGAAGCCGTAACGGTGCAGAACTAATGTGATTATTAGTTTTCCCCACCACACCTCTCACACACGTTTCCAAGAGCAAAAATAGAACATGTATATCAACATACCTTTCCAATTATAGTCCCCCTCCCCACCACAGCACCAACCTCAATCACACTCCCCTCACCCACCTCGGCAGCCTCAACAACAGCCCCACTATCCACAACCACATTCCTCCCCAGAACCGTCCCTTCACTACGCATAGACTCAACCCGCATATGCGCACTACTTCGCGCAGGCGGTGGTGCCATACTCCCCCTCTTGCCCTCTTCATCACCCATACCCACACCCACTTTCGCCCGCTCAAACACCACACACCCCTCACCCAGCACGACCGGCGCCACAGCGCTGCTGAGCTTACTATGTGGGTGTAACACAGTATTTGGGCCAATGGTCACGGGATGCGTGCCGGTGATTTGCGCGTGTTGCGCGATGAGGACGGTGGAGTCGAGGAAGATGGATGAGGGTTTGGGCAGGAGGGATGTACGTTTTGGCGCTGTGGAGGAGCGGCGGTGGTCGGGCGCTGGGCGGGAGGGAGCGGGCTGGGCGGACATGGTGAGTTTGTTGTGGTGGTGGTGGTTATCGATTGGTTATCAGGTTGAATGTTGGTGGTAGGGCTGGCGGGAAGTCCGACGCGAGACGCGCTGCTGGATTAGCGTATCGCCGGATCACGTGAGTGATACTATATGTTGTTTTGTATACGTTGAGGGTATGAGCAACAGGCAAAGACGACCCGAAGAATTGAAATTTTGGGAATCGAAGTGTGAACCTTCCGAGGCAGGGTCTGCTGTCTTCGTAGCCATGCCTGTCTCGCTGTGGTTATTCCTTACTGCAACCCTTAGTAGTGATGACCCCCGGCTATCGATGACGAGCCACGCAGTCAAATGAAAAATACGGTATACAGGAGTACAAAATCGGAGGGGGTATCTCATAACCATGCATTACTACATACATCGTACCAATTCATCGCAAAAGCCTCACATGGATGCCGCACGCCGATCAACAAACAGCGTGCATCAACCTGCTAACAGCACAGAACCATCTGTCCCGCGCCAAAAACAACCCCATCGAGTGAATAACAAACAAGCTAAACCACGACTCTGCTCACGCCTTCCTTACTATCGTCGCCACTTCCCCTCCTCTCCAACTCCGGACTACTCACCTTCTCGGGACTGGCAACTTTCACCGGACTCCTTCTCCCCACCTCCTGCCCCTCAACTTCAATACGGCCTAGTATGTTTTCCTCGTCGTCACCCATGCCCTCGATACTATGCAAACTGTCGTCATCGGACGAGTCCTCGATGCCTTCAAACATGCGTGCGAAGCGCTGATGCCCCTCACGCTCCTCTTGTTCCTGGGTTTTCCCGGGAGCTGAAGGGTCGTCGGGGTCCTCCTCTGCTTCGCGCGTCGATTCAAGTTGGGCTTTGCGTTGCGCGAGTCGAAGAGCAAATTGGCGGCGGGCCCGCGAGGGAGGGATTTGAAGCGGCGGGGGAGCAGTAGGCTGAAAGAACAAGCAGTGTTAGCAGAGAACACATGTCGGTGTGGCTTCGTTCGGCGGCGATGGAACGCAAACAAAAGACAAGACTACATGGAAAGTACGATATAGGAGAAAACACAAATAGACGGAGAAGCGGGGAGAAAGAAGAGGACAGCATACCAGATCATACGGGAGACCAATCATCCAAGTTGGTACGTCACACAAAGGAGATGAGAATAAGAATCACATCTCACGATGCGTATTACTACATGTATCATACACCCTGTCGGATGGCGCAAGGAATGTATGTACACAAGGGATGATGGCTGGCCCCATAGATCTGGTATGCGAGCCGTCTGTCCGTTCCAGCTCATGATACAAACAACGTATAAGAAAAGGAAACGCACCAAAGGCGGGAGAAACGATCGTGGTATAGTGTGTGTTATGGTCGGGGCGCTCGGACATTATCGATAGTCCATATCAGCATCGTCAAATGAGATTTCACCCACTTGTTCGGAGTCGTCGACAGGCCCCTGCCGTTGTTCCCGCTCTCTCTCGGTATCGACATCGTCCATGTCTTCGTCTTCTTCGTCACTCGAGTTAGTAAAGCCACTAAGCAAGGAGCCTCCGCTGAAGGTGTACCCACCACCCTCAGTGTCACCAGCATTGGTGAGCTCCATGCTGTCGAGGCCTATGTTGCCGTTGTTGGCAAGGCTTGCATTGGAGAGCCCGCCACTGTCGCCTCCAAAGTTGTTGTTCGCAGCGTTGACGGCATTGAGCACGGCCTGTCGGGGCCCAACACTCATATCGGGTCGTACGCCTCCGAGAATGGCGTTGTCGCGTTCTCGTGTCTCAGCTAGAATGTGTTCCACATAGTATACCCATTCTTGAGCGTGAACCTTCTCCAGGACCATCTGTGATAACACTTCGTCGGTGTGTCGTTCTGTAAACTTCAACACCTCTTCCGCGATCAGCGTAAGATGACCCATGTATCCTAGTCGCATGGATGTTTCCTTATGTGATTTGTCGCTCTCCTGCTGCCCTTTGATGATGCGTTCGGTAATGCCTCCGTTGTCGAAGAGATCGATCGCTAGTTGTCGGTTGTATCCACGGTCCATCTGCCCGTTGAAGACTTGCTGAACAACATCATACACAACATTGTGCAGGAAATTGTTCCATGGGAAGCGAAAGAAGAAGTCCTGTAACACTTAGGAAAAATGGTTCACGATGAGGATAAAATGGTACTTACCAGTATCGTTGGTACAACCTTGTTCTCAACGAATGTAATCTTCAACAAGTCGCCAACAACGGGCGTGCCGTCAATGTCGATTTCAAAGCCTACAGTCTCCTCTGCACTACCAAATACAACGGAACGTACGCTCTGAGTCTCGTCGATTGGAGTAATCTCGGACAGATCTGATCCCGCTACTGGTGCTGTGAAGCGCGAAGTGTCGATGCTGGCTGTTTCAGCTTTGCTTTCGCGGTTCTTACCCGCAAACAATGGAGCTGGCTTGTCATCTGGATGAGGTGAAAGACTCGCAGATTGGTCAGCGTTTGAGTCTGATGTTTGGCTGAGCTGCTGGGTTAGGAGAGATGGCGGGGTCTTGACATCAGTTTTGGGTTCAGTCTCGGACTTGTCGGTCTGTTCGGGCTCTGTCGGTTCTTGGCGGTCATTCATGACGGTATCCGTATCCAATTCAAGCTCATCAACCTTGGCAGTCAGTCCTGCTGATGTAGGCGACTCAGCATCATCTGCGGGCTTGGGCGGCGACGGAGCAGTCTCAGCAGATGCTGCACTGTCCTTGGGCGGCGTCAGAGGCTCATCAACAAACTCGCCGTCATCGTCTGCGGTCTTGGTAGCGGACGAATCTTTTGGCGCGTCTCTTGGTTCAACCTTTGGCGAGGGCTCCAATGGCTCTCCAATCTGCTCCTTCTCGGTCGCAGTGTCTTTAGAGTCCTCGGGAACAACCTCTGGCGCGACGACTTTCTCAAAGTCGTCCTCCGAGCTGTTTTGTACATGCAGGGGTTTTATCTCGGCAGGGGAGTCCATGGATGGTGCGCGTGCATGATGGAAGCCCTGGCTGTCGACGCTAGTAGAAAAGTCGCCCATGTTGCCAGCGTTTGCCGAAGTCAATTTACCGTCTGCCTTCAGACGTTCCCGCTCAGCGTCGCGTCTTCTAACTTCGGCTTCGCTTCCCCGTTCGTTGAGTAGCGCCATGTTACTGCAGTGTAGCAACTCGGCCATCAACTCGCAGGTCTTGAAACGATCAAAGCCGAGTGGCTCAATCTTCTCGCCAAAGGCCGTCTTGAGCTCTCGCTTCTTCTTGGTAGTGCTGCCATCGCGCTGTGTCACGATCTGGCTCGAACTATTAACCAGCTCCATGAATTGCGGGATGTGGTTCGCGAACTGACGAAGCAGCGTTCCTAGATAGATGGGGTCTGAATTCTTGGGTACCGGCCCGATTTGATTCTCCAGGTCATAGTCAGAGTTGTTCTTTCTGATGACCTCGATAATGATGCCCACACCGACTGTCAGTGGGTTGCCACCTTGAAGCATGAAGTCTATCAATTGCTTCAAACATTGCTCGGACACCAATTGGCGCGTAAGCTCGTTGGGCCCGATAACGGATTGATCTTGTGTGGTAGCGTTTGCGGAAATGGTGATGATGGCCTTGAGGAAGTCACCAGCGGATGTTTGTGTGGAAGT